GCAACAAGCAGATACGCAACTTTCTCAATCGAGTAGCTCACGGACAGGTTCCTGTGCATCGTCGCTTAGGATCTGGAAGACCACTGAGTTCCTGTAGCCCCGACAACTCCGCAATGGGCTGCAACGTCATGGGAGACGAACCGATCTCGACCTCAGACGACATCAAATTCGCGTGACAAGAACTTTCGATTTCGTCCGTGCGGAAGGCCATTGAAGAATTCCGTGATCGAGTACAATGTGTTCTTGATTTTGCGGGCGGTAATATTCAGTCAGAGTTTAGTAAAGTCTGATTACATTGCTGGTACAAGCCGAGCAGTGAAAATGTCTCTTTTTTTGGGCACCCCTGTAGAATAGAACCTTATTCTATTTCTTCCAGACTCTACCCTCGTTTTTCTCTCCGCTCTTCTGGACCCTCGGGTCCGTCCCATTAATGGAAATGCTATTTGCTCCCGAAAAGACCCAGTAAAATTTGTCATAAACCACAGACCAAGTGCACAGAAATTTTCCTAGGAATCACAATATTCAATTGCAACAGGCACTTAAAAAAAAGTTCTCCAACGACCTGAGCACTTTTTTTGCTATTGGATAAATGGCGAATTCGATATGATTGATCAAAATGAATAATTACCTCGACAGATGACGATATAATTCATCCATACTTCATCAACGGTTCCACTAAAATGGCGACAATAAGTTACAGAAGAGTTTTTAAAAAAGAAACTAGTAAAAGAACTTACTTATCCAATCTGTACTGTATAACTGCTTTGTCTTTTATTTGCCGATCAGCAAGGAATTGTGGTATATACTGATAGTCTAGGCTGGTAATGTTCTGAGATTCTCCCCACTAAAAAGCAGCCATACTAGTAACCATGCATGAAAGTGACATCAGACCAGTAGTCGTACCTCAAGGAAGCGCCTGAGCATCAGTTGGGTCCGTTCGGGGCCATAGCAGCTTTCGCTATGTTCCAGTCGCCCGATCATCTCGAAAAAACTGGCCTTTTCCGGAGGATTTGTCAACGATGGCAAAAGGCTGATGAAGTTGACCGGAGAATACTGTAAAATGACTAGTTTTGGTAGTTAATAGTAGGATTTTCAGGAAAAATTCACTAAAACGAACCTCACTTTGCACTCTTTCAAATTTCCTCAGGGATAGCATGAGATCAGAATCACTTGGGAATGTTTTCGATGGATCAAACGATGGTTTCATCCTGCTGACACCGATAAACGCACTAACATAGATGGCTACGGTAGCGGTTACGACGATGAATTTCCCAAATGGCGAAAGTAACACTTTTGTGTAGCTCTCCCAAGAAATTGTACTAAAAAGATTCAACTTTTATGGGTTACAAATAACCAAACGAGTAATCAACAGACTTGTTCACTCCTCTGGGTTTTTCCTCTCGTTCATCATAGAATATGACCATGAGGGGTCCAAAAATGGCGAATTCAAAAATGAAGTCGAAAAGAATAGCAACGCTGGTGCACAGGCAGAAACCGCTCATCTAAAGTGGATCCATAGCTAAAGAAAATGGATAGCGAAAGTAAAAAAGAGATAGGAAAAAAAGATGAAAACAAAACATGAGATGAAAAGTAAAAAGAAATTATAAAATTGTACGGAAATTACAGAATTTTCAATTTTAGAAGATTGATTACCCAAAATTTGAAAAAAAAATTATCCCCTAAATGTGGGACCATACCTGCGGGGTTGGTGATGTGATACCGATGCCAAATGCAAGAGTATTCGTGGCTGAGGTGATCGCCATTGATGGACCAATTTGATGGATTACCATATACATACGTTCCTTTGCCGGTAAATTACCATGGCTACGCCATGAATGCAACAAGAGGAAAGCATCGTCGACTCCTGATTAATGAGACTAATCTGACTGTTCTTGCAATGAATTTAAAACATTAAAGTTGGTGTGAGGCATTGTCTAGACTCAACAAAATTAGTGAAGGGTCGCAAGTTACCAACGACTCACACTGCGGACCTATGGAAACCAATATCTCTGGTATTCGAAAGCAGATAAATCAGTCCAGAGGTTTGTTCAAAGGGATGTTAACAGTAATTTATACTTAACATTTGAATATACATGTGTGAAAAATCTTATTCTCATTCTCCTCTCATCTCAATCTGGAAGATATCGACTTTTCAGATTATAGCATTTCATCAGTGTCTATAAAAATTAGTTTTCTGGGTTTCGATAGAATGGCAGCAAACAAGGATGTTTGGATGTGTTTCGCATTGAATTGAGGTATACATACACATGCAAAAGGTGGCTGGTTGCACAGGCCATCAGCTGGTTACCGGTTTGTTCTTAGTTCTTATGGTTTGTATTGGAATTTTCGAAGATACGTGGCCTTACCGATTCCCATAACCAGAAATGGTGTAATGCACATGATTGAATTGAAAGGGAAGTCGAGCCATCCCAGAATTGCAAAAGTCGTAGCCGTGGCGATAGCTGGAGATCCGACAGCGCCAAGTATCAGAATTGGCTGAATAAAACTACTTTACTCATTATTATTACATGATTGTTGAATAGTGGCGATAAATGACCAACCTGGGATTTCAAGGAGATGTGACGGAAAGCAATGGCCATGAAGATTATCATCAGCACAACCCCCAAAGCGAACAGTTTCACTGTGTGGAATGTTCCACGTAACATTTCGGCATTTGCTACCTAAATCATTCTTCAAGCCAATGAAAATGTACAAAAATGAACTCGGAACTAAACGAGGGCTCTTTGAAAGGAAGAGTTTCAAAGGGGTACTTGAAAGTAGCTGAAAGGCTCTATAGACTATAATTTGTACTGTTTTTGTCCTCTCCAGGTCCAGAGTAATGGACAAAGGCAATTTCGATCAGAAAAAAGGAAAGAGCAGGAAACTCGGCCATAAAAAAAAACCAGGTTCATTTGGGTAACGTAGGTAAAGGTGATTCGTTCTACTAGCTCCACCTACTCGTTTAGTATCAAGAGCACAAAATCAGATTTCACTGCTGGCACACTGGCTCAATGTACTACCGTTTTCTACCTAACAAATGAGCACCTCATAGTTTAGACCCAGCCTTCCGGTTGACGAGCTTTGTAGAATACGATTTACAGGTGGTTGAGCGGGTTATTTGCATCTAGATAACATCGAAAAATTGTTCCGATCCCATATTCCACTCCAGTAATTCCTTGATTTTCTTGAGGCGACTCAAATTGCTCTGGGATTTGATGGATTAGGACCGCTCGAGAACAAAACGACCGGAGCTGTCAGATTTTGATTCTGGAAATTGTATTTTGTATGGTAAAAAATGTCTAGTTAATGGTGTATTTACTTGACACCGTTGACTAGATATACATTCCCACACCACATTCCCATACGAAATAGCTAGGGTAGTGGGAGGGAGGGGATGGGCGATGGAGCTGAAATTTGTTGACATAATCCTTTCACAAAGATGTTCATAAGCGAGTAAGCGAGTTCGAACTATAGCTATAGTTCGAATTGGCAGGCTTATGGGGTCAACTTAGCTGGGAGCAGGAGCCAGGGCTTATATCGACATTCAATAGGCCCATTCAAGACTATGTCATACCTACGGTACTGAAGATCGGGGTCTTCGGTTAACA